CATTTATTTTTTTTTAAAGATTTATGTATTTAATAGAATAAGCAGGAAGGAGGGGCAGAGGGAGAAGCAGCTCCTCGCTGAGCAGGGAGCCAGACATGGAACTGGATCCCAGGACTCTGAGATCATGACCTGAGCCAAAGGCAGATGCCCAACCAACTGAGCCACCCAGGTGTTTTGTTTTTGTTTTGTTTTTTTTAATCATATATTGCTCTTGTGAATTTAAACAAAATTAGTTGAAGTTTTCCTAAAACCTCTGCACATTAGTATCATGACTTTCCACTTAGAGGCATTAATCCCTGTACCTTGTATCTAAGATTGCCTTCTCTAGGGGTGCCTGGCTCGCTCAGTTGGTAGAGCCTGCAGCTCTTGATCTTAGGGTTGTGAGTTCATGCCCCAGGTTGGGTGTGGAGCCTACTTAAAAAAGAGAAAGAGGGGCAGCCCCAGTGGCTCAGCGGTTTAGCGCCACCTTCAGCCTGGGGCCTGATCCTGGAGACCTGGAATTGAGTCTCATGTCAGGCTCCCTGCATGGAGCCTGCTTCTCCCTCTGCCTGTGTCTCTGCCTCTCTCTCTCTCTGTGTCTTTCACAAATAAAATCTTAAAAAAAGAAAGAAAGAAAGAAAGAAAGAAAGAAAGAAAGAAAGAAAGAAAGAAAGAAAGAAGAAGAAAGAAAGAAGAAAGAAAGAAGAAGAAAGAAAGAAAGAAAGAAAGAAAGAAAGAAAGAAAGAAAGAAAGAAAGAAAGAAAGAAAGAAAGAAAAGATAGCCTTCTTTACCTTCAAGAGTGTTGGTCTTCCAGCATTCCCTAAAAGAGCCTACAAGAGAATTGAAAACCATTGGTACTGGGCTCTTAAGCTGCCCTTACATTTATGTAGTGCTAGCCAACTTAAGCAATTTTAACAAATGCAAAAGAGCATAATTCATAAGTGTACAACCTGATAGATTGTCTAAAATGAACACACCCAGGTAAACACCACCTAAGTCAAGAAATAGAACTTTCCCAGCACCCCAGAAGCCGCTGTCCTGCCCCTTACCAAATATCCCCTCCAAGGTATTCAAAGGGAATCACTAATCCTGATCATAGATTGGGTTTGCCGTTTTTTTTTTTTTTTTTAACTTTTTGTAATGGAAAAATAAAGTAAGTACCCTTTTATTGTCAGGGCTTCCCTGTTCAGAGCTGAAAAGGACCAAGGATTATTACAGGAGGAAGTGCAAACCTACCTGCTCCTTGTTATGTGGGCACAGGACAAAGGACATCATCATGCCTCAGATAGAGATGACTGTTCAGTCCTGAGATTCCCTGATCCCACAGTCAGCTGGTCAGTGTCTATCAAATCACCCTTGCATTAAGAACTTGTGTGGCCCCTTATAAAAAGAAGCATTTAACCCATCAAGGCAAAAAATCAAAATATAGATAATACCTAAGGCTGGGGATGGTGTGGGGGAAAAGGACACTTCCATTTACAATTATGAAAGTATATGATATAATTTTGAGGGTAATTATCTAATATCTAGCAAAATACTAAAATGTTCGGGCTTTTTGGCCAGCAAACACTTGTAGAAATCTATCCTCCAGGAAGACTTGCAGCACCCCTGTACTGTGCCTCAACTTCCTCATTTCTAAACGAGGGATGATAGTACATAGCTCAGTGGGCTGCTGTGATGATTGAGTGAGTACACACACACACACACACAATGTCTGGTATTCAAGTACTTAAGCGCTGAGTACTTAAGTGCTAACTCTTGCCTGTCTTAGTACGTAGGTACTGTTCACTTGACATTTTCCTGAAAGACCAATAAACCTCCAAATATCTAACTCCTACCAAGTAACACACCCCTCGGGGAAATGAGACTGGGTTATGTTTTTCTCAGTGTGACCCCTGGGAGCTTATTAAGATGCAGGTTTCTGGGTCCATCCTAAACCGAAGAGAACTACCGCGGAAGCCGTTTCCCAGGTGTTTCTTTCTTGACCGAAAGCCGAGGTCGGCCGGCCAGAAGGTGTCGCTCTCCCTAGCACCTCGGCCTCCGGCTCCCGGAAGAGCCGCTCTGCCCGCCAGGAGCGCTCACTCGTCTCCTCTCTTCCGCTTCCGGTGTTCCCCCGCAGCCATGGCCGCCGCCGCCGCCGCTGGCGGCCCTGGGGTGCCCCTGTCCCCGGACGAATTGCTTCCGAAAGGCGATGCCGAGAAGACCGAAGAAGAGCTGGAGGAGGAAGACGACGAGGAGGTACTGGGGCCCTGCGGTGTGGGACGGGGTGCGAGGTTGCGGGCGGGGAGCGGCCCACCCGGGGGTGTGAGCCCCGCGTGCTGCGGGCTTCGGACGGAGGCGCGTCGCGGGGCCCGGAGAGGTCGGGGGGGAGGTGTCTTCACCAGGAGGCGGGTTTAGGGCCTCCACCGGGCTGGGGGGGGTGCCCTCGCCCCAGGGGGTTGTTGCAGTTGCTTGGATCAAGACCCGCGTCGCCTCCACCACAGCTAGATGAGACCCTGTCGGAGAGACTGTGGGGTCTGACGGAGATGTTCCCAGAGAGGGTCCGGTCCGCGGCTGGAGCCACTTTTGATCTCTCCCTCTTTGTGGCTCAAAAAATGTACAGGTAAGGGACGAAGGCAGAGACGTTGGGGTGTGCCTGGGGTGACTGAAGTTCCGTGAACGAACCTGGGCTTCGCAGTAGCAGACCGGGGTTGGAGGCCAGCCTGCTACCTAGATCCCTGAGTGACCTTGGGCGGGTGGGTACCTTAACCTTTCTTGGTCCCAATTTCCTCTTTCCTAAAGTGGCAGTTCTTATGGGGCAGGGTCATTGGGAGATCGGTTCACATCACGTGAGGTAATTAATGTGCTGTATGAGTAGCTTTGTAAGTACTCAGAATCTTAGAAGTGCCATCACTGGATGAACGGCCAGCAAAACTGCCCGTCCTGTTTCTGGTGGGAGTGCGGTGCAAGGTTGGGGTAGAACACACCTATGGAAGACATAGGAGAGTGAGCGGTTTGGTTACTGGGTCCTTCTTGGTGGAGCGATCTGTTTTTGTGTCTCTCTGTCATAATCACACTCCCTTTGCAGGTTTTCCAGGGCAGCCTTGTGGATTGGGACCACTTCCTTCATGATCCTGGTTCTTCCTGTTGTCTTTGAGACTGAGAAGTTGCAAATGGAGCAGCAGCAACAACTGCAGCAGAGGCAGGTGAGCCCAGCCTCTGGGCTTGTTGTCAGTGGTGGAGATGCAAGTCGTTGATTTCCTTGCACGGGTAGACCAGCAGTTATGTGTGGGTAGAGATTGGGGTCCCGCCCATGTTCTTCTAGGTGCTGCCTGACTCTGCTCAGCAGTTTGTGTAGAGCTGGTCTGCCTTGTCAGGTGTAGTGAAAATGCAATCCCTAGGCTTGTATGATCCTTATACTCCTCCCTTTTCTTTTCCAGATACTTTTAGGGCCTAACACAGGGCTCTCAGGAGGAATGCCAGGGGCTCTACCTTCACTTCCTGGAAAAATCTAGATTGCTACTGCTACATGACTTGTCTTGGGACAAGTTTGAAAATTCAATAGTGTTTGAACTGCTGATTATTTGGATTCCTTTTTTTTTTTTTTTTTAAACTTTGGCACATTGATCTATCTAAACCTGGTGGGGAGAATTCTCCCCAGTGTCTCACGGAGACTCCCAACTTGCAACTGTGTCCTCCACGCTGTCCCATTTCTTCTGTTCTCACTCTGATAGCAAGAGTGCAGCAATGCAGACGGTTACTCCAGCTCTGGCCTTCTACCCCCTTTCTCACTAAATCACTTATGACTGGAGGATCTCACTATCCCATTGTGGCATAGGAACTGATGCCACTAGGAAGGAGGTACCCCTCACCATTTTTGTTTTTAAGCATGGAGATGTTGGGGAGGGACATGCACACATATGAAACACATAGTGCATTACAGCCGTAGTGTAAAGCAGCCACTGTGAATTTCTGTGTTGGAAAGGAGGGAGGGCCGGGCAGCAGCTTCAACCACAGGATGGGGACTGTGGAGGACAGAGCAGCAGCTCATTTCCTCTGCCTGTTTTGGCTATGAGAGACCTGTCTAAAAAAGAAAAAAAGTAAGTGCTCACTTTTTGTATTTAAATATTAAAAATTATTCCAATGGAAAGTGTCATCTATGTACTTGTGATATACATCTTGAAATCATTTATTTAGACTGCCCCTCACATTTTTTTCTCACTAAGCTAGCGCTAGCATTTAACACTATTTGATTCCTTAGGTCCAAGTTAGTTAAACTTCCAAAAGTGAAAAAGGTCATTTTTGGCTAAGAACCTCTTAATAGCAATCTTTGCCCTGAATTCAGGCTAATCCTTTTCAGATCTGCCAACAAAGGATTCGGTCCATGTACTTGTACAGTTTACAGTGATATACAGTCATAAAGAATTCTAGGGAATGACATAGTACTAATTTCTGATCTAGGGAGGGGGTGGCAAACAGAACTTCTTTGGTTTGGTCTTTTAAAAATGACAAGCTGACTATGAATCCAACTATAGTCCTGTCTTTGAACCTTGCAGTTTTTCCATTTAACATAATGGAAAGTTTTATTAGCACTGTGCTATTAACAATACTGAGCCTTTGGTGTGTATTTTATCAGAATAATACTATTTAGGGTATAGTACTATTCCTATTATAAAGAGGAATCAGTCACAGAAAGGTTAATCTACCAGACTGCATAGGAAATGCTGGATCTGAATTCAAATCTAGTAGGCCCTCTGCTCTCTCTGCTTGTCAAGCAGAGAAAAACACTGGTCACATCTCAGTGCTAGAAAAGAAAACTGTCCTTACATTAGGATTTGATTGTTGAGCCTAGTTTTTTCTAAGCTGAAAAATGCCTCAGGCTTTTGAACCAAATCCTACTCAGTGAATATTTTGTTTGGATTTTTGAGGTGAGAGGTTTGACCAAAGCACCATATAGCTCTAAAAGATGGCTTATGATGGTGAGTTTTTCTTCTAAAGTCTCATCACACTAAAGTTTACTTTCTTCCTCTTCCATACAGAATTCAGACAGGAAGGAGATTTATGTACAGTTTTCCATTTTTAATATTTGGTTAAACAAAATACATCTTTTGTAAACAAACCCAGCACAAGGCCAACAAAAAAAGGAATAAAAGCAAGAAAAACAAAAAGCCTAGGGTTGCCCCTTTTGGGGCATCAGGGTCAGGCCTGCCCCCTTCCTTAAAGGAAGTGGGGGCTTTTTGCCCTTGGGCATCAGCATGGGTCCCTGTTCCTAAGCACCAGAATTGGATATGAACAGAGAAACCAGCCCTGAAATGTTTAAGCGTCTTTGCATATCCCATTGGCTCATGGACTCCAAGTGCACAGGGACTCCTCTGAAGTGCCATTTGCACAGGCCCAAGCAGATTGGTGGAGAGGACTTTCCTCTCCTCCCAGTAAATGGCTTACTATCACAGACAGTGCCCATAGACCCAAGGTCCTGCTTGTGACAATCAGGTTGGCTGTAACTTCTGGCTGGTGGTGGTTGGAATGTCATTGTGCAGGGGTAAAGAGCTCCCTGTGGTGCCAAGCAGGTCTGGTGTGGAAAATGGTGCAGAAGAGACTGCAGCCAGTTGCCAAGAGGGTGTGATGCAATAGCTGCTTGGTGGCCTCTGTTACTCAGCATAAAAAAACGGCCTTGTTGGATTGAAGATACATGTGCAGAAAAAGTGCTGGTGTAAACATGCACTCCAGTCACAGTGGGGAGAAAGCCTCAGCTTCATCCTGTTAAGCTTGCTCAGGCTTGACATGCAAGCCCCAGGCTGGCTTTGCTGCTGGAGACATCTGGCCAGTGGGGCGGCTCTCAGACCTGCCAAGACCATGGATCTGTAAGGGGTAGACAGACCATCCCTGCCTGCCCACCTGCCTCAAGGCAACCACAACCACTTAGGTGACACACAGTGTGGTAAGATACTTCCCCTCCTTCTCTTTTGTTTTCCAAAGTTACAGGAGAAAAGTGGCCTACAACTATTTAAAGAGGTAGGGGGTGGATCAATTTTCATTGATTTGTAAAGGAAACTAAAAGATGACAAATCCAGGTCCTATAGCAATGCAAGTTAATACCCAACTTGAGGATTCTGATTGTTGTCACTATAGTGACTCTGAGCCTAGGACATGTACCAATTCTAGCTGCTGTTAATCTCTGAGAAGCTTATCTTCACGATACTTTCCTCACCCAACTGTGTCTCAAACTAGTGGAATTAGACATTGAAAGCAGACTTGTTTCCTGATTTTGCCGGAGTGTGTCAGCTGGGAAGACTGACCTTTGCCCCAGAGCCTCCTAAATCCATGTAGTGAAGTGGTAGGGACAATGCTGGAGTGGGGCCAACAGGCCATCCATGCCTGCCCCAGTCTGGCTGCCGTCAAGTCCTCTTAGGTATCTAGCTCACCCTGTTTCACTAGGATATTGCAGGATTCAACCACCCAGCATGGAATACTAGAGAACTTTTCATTAGAAAACTCCAAGGATGACCATAAAAATGGGTAATGGGTAATGGGTGGCGTTGAGGGTTGGAGATGGCATACTGTACCACTGCTGGGGTTTTGGAGATGGTTTCCTGAGAGGCCCATATGTTCTGGGTCCGTCAAGCCAGTTACATGGGCTTTGCATGTACTCGGTCTTCAGACCCACTGGTAGCCAGGAAAGGGGAAGTGGAGGCAGCATCTCCAGGTGAATCACAGCAGCAGTGTACTCCAGCAGAGCCTCTGTCAAGTTCTCGTAGGAATGAGGAAAATAAACCAGGACCCACCTTCCTTCCTCCTCTCTTAAATAAAACGAGGGTCTTCATAGCTTGCCCTAAGCACACAGAGCTCCTATCTTCCTGTCCCAGGAATGAGTAATGCTGGGTGGCTGGTTCTTGTAACAGTCCACACATCTGTCCTATTGCACTGTCAAATCTGAGGGGGAAACCCAATGAGATGTTTGGGGAAGTGGCAAGGGCAGACCCACTGTATAGGCCACAGCACATGACAGAGGACTTGGGGGGCTGAGGTGAGGGAAGGTTGGGCAGAACTGCATTACACATCAGCCCTCCAGCTCTGACGGGCCTCCACCTCTTCTGGCACCACCAGCAGGAGTTCACAGTTCTTTCCTCGCAAGTGATGCTTGAGAAATTTCCTATGGGAACAAAGGGTAGATGAAAGAAAATGAAATGCTGGTAAAACTACAAATTCAAGTCTCAGGGCCGTGTGCTCACCACTGACCTCATCATTTACATCCTTAGCAGTCCTAAAGACACTGAAGAAAGGATCTGTTCTTGCAGGGTTCCACATCTGGCTACCCCCTCCACCTGCCCAGTTAATTTTCACTCAACACCATCTAGTTCTGTGAGGAACAGCCGGCCCAAAGTACTCAAGTAAGGGATTTATCTTTTTTTTTTTAAAGTTTTTGGTTTCATCTGAGGGAAATTTAGCCCTCTCTGGTCTAAAGGCCTTTCTTCTGAACTGGCAGCTATACCATCCCAGTTATCTAAGCATCGAGAATGTTATGATGCCAGTCCTACCAGACCAGAAGGCCAGCATTCTGGGTGCTGGAACTTCTCTACCAAAGGGACTTCATATCCTTACAGGCCATCTAAGATTCAGCTCTTTCTAGTCCAAGACCCTAATTCTAAACAAGGCAGAGAGAGGATCCGAGGAGCTAGAGATTTCATCTCCTTTGTCAAGTTACTAAAGGTAGGTTCAACTTGCCCAACACATGCAAGGAAGGAGCCTGGCACATTCACAACAGGTACCTGAGCTCGCTCTCGCCTCCAATCCACTCGGGCATCTTCAGTTTGGAGTCGAGGTTGTAGTAGGCACCTCCCACCTCTCGAACACAGATCCAGTGCTGCCTTTTGAGAGGCAACTTCAGTGGACCCCAGCACAGGCTGGAGGGCAGATTCATGATGAAGCCCATGACATTAGTGAGAGCAATGGCACTGACATCCCTGCAGAAAAGCAACGGCATCAGCCAAGATCCCCTGCTGGGAACACCTCCCCACTCGTGCCACTTCTCATCAAGTCAGGCCTGGTTCAGATTACCTGCGCTTGTCCCACCAGACAGCTTCATAGCCTTTGGTTTGAAGTGCTGCCATTATGACGTTCACATCGTAGTTCCCATTTCCTAGCATGCTCTTCTTGTGGGGGGTCACCATGGTGTTTGGAGACAACCTACAAATGTGAAAGGAGGAGGGCTGAGACCTGTGGGCTGTCCAACCCCTCCTGACCCGTACTCCATAGACACCTTCCACCACTGCCTCTGGAAGCTCGTTTCCCCCATTCAGCGCAAGGTGACCACTTTTACCGAAGTACTTTTTAGTCTGCGATCCTACTGCCCTATGGATTACCTCTCTTTTTATGCAAAACATTAATTCAGTAGTGGTGGGGCCTATCTGCTGTCTCAGAAAGTCAATAGACAAAAAACATGTGCCACAAAAGAGTCTCATTTATGAAACCCCCAGCCTATCCATTTCTGCATTCTTCTCTAATCTTCCTGCCTTAATACAGCCATTTTTTAAACGTTAGAAAATAGTAATTGATAATTTCATTTGCATAGGTAGTATTTGTTGCTTTTTCTTTTTCTTTTTTTTTTACAGTTTAAATGCTTTCTTTTTAAGGCTTGCACACTTGGTAATCATTAATCCTTAAATACTCCAAGGCCTCCAGGGGCCCCAGCAGGTAACATAAATGTATGAACTGGGGCCAAATGTAAAGCAATAAGTAGTAAGGCCTATATTGAACCAAAATGCATAAACCAGCAAAAGTTATTTCCAAAGTGTGTGTGTGTGTGTGTGTGTGTGTGTGTGTGTAAAATACTTGAATAAAAAAATTTTTAAAAATTAAAAACAATCAACTGGGGCAGCCTGGGTGGCTCAGCAGTTTAGCACCGCCTTCAGCCCAGGGCCTGATCCTGAAGACCTGGGATGGAGTCCCACGTCAGGTTCCCTGCATGAAGCCTGCTTCTCCCTCTGCCTGTGTCTTTGCCTCTCTCTCTCTCTCTCTCTCTCTCTCTGTCACTCATGAATAAATAAATAAAATCTAAAAAAAAAAAAAAATCAACTGGGAAAAAAAAAATGTGCCAAACAAAACTCAACTTGCCCACCCAGCTTTAAGTCATTTTTGGCCAGGTCTCATTGGCCACTCCATCACAACACAAGGGCAGTAGCTCTAAAGCATTTCCAGTCCTATGATTTTGCTTTCACAGGCTTGTTAGGCCCATGGATGAAGGGGTAGATTGCTTCCACCTTGGTGTGAAGAGGAGAGAGGGAAATGGAGTGAGTTTTCTCAGGAATAAAAGCAAGAGAGTGGACGTCCAGAAGGCTGCTAAGGGCCCTCTCCAGAAGAGAATCATGACTTTAGGTCAACTCTAAACACTCAAGAAATCTTATAAAAAGTTTTTTTCAAACTTCTCTACACACATCAACCATACAGATATTTTTCAGACATAAAACATTTCTTCCACTGCTTAAATCCTCCAATGGCTCCCAAAACACTTAAATGCAGTCTAAATTACCTCCTCTCCTTCCAAGGCCCTCAGGACACTGCTGACCTAATCCCTATGTCTTTTAACACACAAAACTTCTCACCTGAGGGCCTTTGCATGCACTGTTTTAGCAGTCTGGAATGCCCTTCCTCTAGATGTACACTTGTTTTGTTCCTTATTTAGGTCTCAACTGTTAGTGCCTTAGAGACCTTTTCTGACCACCCAATCTTCGGTTTCTTCCAGGCGCCAGCTCTTAATCCACCTGCTTTATTTATTTTTTTTAAAGATTTATTTATTTATTCATGAGAGACACAGACTGAGAGAGCCAGGCTCCATGCAGGGAGCCCGACATGGGACTTGATCCTCGGTCTGGCGGCGCTAAACCGCTGAGCCACCCAGGCTGCCCAATCCATCTGCTTTAATTACAGCCCTTGTACTAACTGACACGTCTGTTTTTCCACACTAGAATGATAGCAGGGGCCTTCTCCATCCAGTCAGAGCTATATCACCAGGAGGTAAAGAGTGCCTGGCACATGACAGGTGCTCAAGAAATACTTAACATGTTCACCATGTTTATTTTGTTACCCTTTCTTTGTAAACATTGGTAAGCAGACCCATAAAGAGAGCTTGTGATCTTGTCTCCATAGCTAGCAAAGAAGGGGATCTGAGGACACTATTCACTCTGCAACCAAACTGTAGTTTACTGAAACAAACTATTTATTGAAAAATCCCATGCCACACCCAATGCAAGATGCTTTCATGCATATCTCATTTAGTTTCCATAATAAACCTATGAAGCTATAGGCCAAACTGAAGTTTGGCGATTTAAAATGGTAACTTGCCTATGATCACAAGTGACAGAACTAGGATTTATATTAGGTTTATCTGACTCCAATGTTGTGCTCAATGGCAGGGTCCAAGAACTAGAGTGGGTGGTGGTAGTGGGGTAAGAAGAAAGGCCAGCAGACTCCCTGGGGTCTGTGCCTAAAGTGGAGTTTCAAAGGACAAAGGCTCTCAGTGGGCTCTTGTATTAAATAAGAAAGCATTTAATAAGCATATTAAATAAGAATATAGAGGGCAGCCCCAGTGGCTCAGCGGTTTAGCGCCGCCTTCAGCCCAGGGCGTGATCCTGGAGACCCAGAATCGAGTCCCACATCAGGTTCCCTGCATGGAGCCTGCTTCTCCCTCTGCCTCCCTCTCTGTGTCTCTAATAAATAAATAAAATCTTTAAAAAATAATAAATAAAGGTTGAGTCTCTGGAGTCAGTCAGGAAGAGTGGCATTTGAATGTAAACTCTTAAAAAAAAAAAAAAAAAGAAAGCATATGGAAAGCCTAGCTCAAGGTAGATCAAGTTCCTTCCCTGTCACCAATTTTTCAATAGCTTCTCCTTACTTCCAGTAAGGTCTCTAGCCGGGAGATGCATGAAGGCTCCCACAAAGAAACTTCTGGGTCTTCTACCTTGTTCACCATTTAACTCTCCACCAAGCTCAAAACTTAGAGCCACGCTTTCCCAAATGTGTTCCCAGATGATCACAGAAGGTGTTTAATACATTAATGGCTGAATGAATCAAGTAAAAAGGTTTCCTGCAGGAATTCGTGGTGTGTCTAAGATGTTAATTTTTTTTTAAAGATTTTATTTATTCATTTATGAGAGAGACTGAGAGAGGCAGGTCCCCTGCATGGAGCCGGATGTGGGACTCTATTGCAGACCCCAGTATCAAGGCAGAAGCTCAACTGCTGAGCTACACAGGTGTCCCCTTAAGATGCTAATAATATTCACCTTGAGTCTTGAGAAGAGGGGTACTTTTCAGTTCCCAAACATATCTGACATTTTTTTTTGAGGTACGCCTTACAGGAGTGTTCCTAGGGTCTCTTCTCCATGTCTTCTATTTTTTATCTCAGTTTCCAGCCCTCTCCTGTCTATTCCCATTCACCCTCCACAAACTGGAGCCTCCTTGCTCCATATATGGGCTTTTCAAACAGGTTTCTAAATTGATCTCCTTGCTTCCAAACTCTCCTTCCACCAAGTCACCCAGAAGTTCCTGCCACATTTACCAAGTCATCATTTCACTCTCTCTTGTAAGAACTGCCACTGGAGCCACCTGCCCACTGGCTAACACCAACCCTCTGGCTCTCTGGGGCCTGCGTTCCCCTCTCCTTGGGCTTTTAGTGTACTTCAGACACCTCTATTCTCCAATCCTGTTTCCTGTTCCAAGCCCAATCCTAAAGCTTCTTCAAGGTCAATGTCACATACTACCTCTTTCATGGAATCTTTCCTGGCTTCTGTGTAGAAAACATAGGGAGATGGGAAGGACCACCCGTTATCCTAGCAAGCAGCACCAATGCTAACTGTGAGATTTAATTTCTGTGACTGTTGGCTTATCTTTAACAATGGCAAAAACTCCCATCTTCCAGAACCATTAAGGAATTCCATTATACGTGTCCAACCAGAGAGCAAACTCCTGAAGCACAAGGGATGGCTCTTCTACTCTGTTGCCCTCACAGCAAAGCAGTGGCAACTGAATAAACATGTTGTCCTAGATGATACCACTCTAGGGAATGCAGAGAATGGCCTCCATCTCATTCCTAGAAAGGCCATTTGAGTAAGTGGAATCTACCCAGTGTGCCATGATATCAGTACTTGTTTCTGCCTTAACAATAACCAGGTGCCTACCATGTTAGCTACTTTTTTTTTTTAAGATTTTATTAATTTATTCATGAGAAAGGTGAGGGGGTGCAGGGACACAGGCAAAGGGAGAAGCAGGCTCCACACAAGGAGCCGGATGCGGGACTTGATCCCAGGTCTCCAGGATTATGCCCTGGGCTGAAAGCAGGCGCCAAACTGCTGAGCCACCCAGGGATCCCATGTTAGCTACTCTTTTGAGCTCTCTTTCTTAATCTTTCCAACCACCTTGAGACAGAGCTTAATCGTGCAATGTAAATAAGCAAGCTGAGGTGCAGTGTGGCTACAGCGACTTCCACGGTCCTATGCAGCTGGTGAATGATAGAGCTAGGCTCCAAACCCTACACCTAATAAACTCAATGGTCTTCCCTATAGTTGGGAGACACCGGTCACATCGAATTCCATGCCATCCCCTTCTGTGATTCTTTTCTTGGGACTCCTTGGCAAACTCCTGTTCAGGATGGTCTTCATGATTTGGACAGAAGTTCTGAACTATGAAGCATGCCTCTCCCTTCTGTTGCTATGGCTGCAGGTTAGAGCCATGTGGTCTGAAGTGATCTCCAGGCAAGAAGATGGGCTCCAGCCAGGTCTAATGCCAATGCGCTCAGGGGAGTTCCTGGTCCTCCCTCATGATTATTCCTGGGTCTAGCTAAGGTGATGATTTCAGATTTTAACAAAAAGAAGATGTGGACATTCATCGAGGTTCCTTTTCTCTCATAATTATTATTTTCCTTTTTATCAGCTCTTAAGAAATATGACATTAGAAAATATGTCTCAGAACTTCATGATGTGTCATTATATCATTAAATATATAAAGCACAGGGATGCCTGGGTGGTTCAGTGGTTGAGCGCCTGCCTTGGCCCAGGGCGTGATCCTGGAGTCCCAGGATCAAGTCCCACATCAGGCTCCCTGCACGGAGCCTGCTTCTCTCTCTGCCTCTCTCTCTGTGTCTCTCATGAATAAATACATAAAACCTTTAAATAAATATATATAATATACATATTTAATATATAATATACATGTTTAATATAATATTATATATATATATATATATATATATATATATATATAGCACAGATCATAGAGTCAGGCACATCAATGTACTCTGTAGGTGTTGGCAATGATGATGCTGTGTTTGCCTGGCCCTTGGACAAAATGATTTAAATCTCTAGAGGTTAGTACTCCATCTCTTTGAGCAATTTACCACCACCATACCTTTAAATGTGGCTCCTTCCGCTTGCTCAGGGACTTTTTAATGGGGAGGCTGGACTTTGTGGTAGAGAATGCTGGTTGTTCACCAAAATCTAAAATCTCTTTGTCTCTTCCAGCTTGCATTAGATTTTTCAAGGGGGACCAACCTACGTTTCATCTATTTAGATTTTAACAGCTATTTTTTGGAGGAAGAGGGATGCATACTTGCTGCAAGAACATCTAATCACTGAACAATTGAGATGAGTCTATGAAAATAGATTGAGGCCTGAGGATTTTCCAAACAACTCAGCAAAACTACTACTACATCATTTGACTCCTATATGATGAGATGTACGAGATCAGACATCCGAGTCTGTATAATGTGCACTAAGACACCTGCCCAGATTCTGAGCTTTTCTCCAATTTCACATGTTGAAAACTGATCCTTTCCAAACTAGTGCCCTCTTCTGCCATCACTATGGTTGTTATCACTATGTTCAACTCTTGGACTGAGACTCTGCCACCTTGATTCCTCTCTTCCCCGTCCCCATGCTGCCGGCCATTGGTTTTAGTTTTTTCTAAATCCCTACTCATTTCTATTCCAAACATGAGTCATCTCATATCCACAACTGTACTGAAAACTCCACCCTGCTTTTGTATTTCTCCTTTTTAATCTGGCTAAAATTCGACTGCTAGGATGAACTTCCTTTCAACAAACAGCATTCATCAAAATTTTTCTCCCATTTCTACCATTCATCAGCCTCATCTTCAAAAGAGCATAAAACTTTGTATCTGAGAATTTAAAATTATCTAGTTTAACCTGCCATCATTACTATTCTTCCCATTATGATCCAAAGAGATCATCTTTTCCCTTTCAAACAGCTCTAAATTCTAAGGTTCTAACTTCACTTAAGTTTATTCTCAAGGTCTGGTCAATGTAGAGCTCTGGGAGGTACTTAGCGGCTGAGTCCTGTTCAACTTGTTTTCTCTACAGTGCCTAGCAGGGCCTGGCACACAGCAGGCTGCTAGTAAATGTTTGTTTATAAAATTCCATCTTCTCTTCCTCACCTCTTCTCCCTTTCCTTTTTCCTCTGATCCCTTTCATACTTCTTTGTTTCCATTTATCCACGCTGAATCTTTCCATACAAAATACATAGAATTCAGCCTCTGGAGTGAGAATAGAGGATATTTTCTTATGCACTGGTTTGCTATTACTTTGAGATGAACCTTTACCTTGTGCTGACAGGAAACTGGAGAGCGTAGTACAAATTTACTAGAGCTTTAGTAGCCAGGAATAGAACTTTGGTTCCATGTGAGAGTTTAGCAAATATTTAGCATTCTTTCATTCAGGAAAAACACAACTGAAAGAATCTTGCAATTATCCACAAACAGCTTATAACCACAGTCTGTATCTTTAGATCCAGGCCCAACTCACTAGCAGGCTGAATGGGTACTGATGATAGAATTGCTCTGACATGCCTTTCTGATACTCAGGAAGTAGCACTCATGCTATGTCCATCCAGACACCACAGAACTAATTCTTAAACCCTGTGATAAAAGAATTTTAGAACATCAAAGTAGAGAGAAAAAACTGAACTTCTGTCAACCTGTCAGGCAGCATTTAGTAAAGTGTTGGTTTAAAAAAAAAAAAAAAAAAGCCATCCAGAATGAAGTAGAAAGGGAAAGAGGTCTAGAGTCAGCTTCAAGTCATAGCTTGGCTACTTGAAAGCAATTTGGGCAAACTATCTGGCTTTTCTGCCTGTTGCTCCATCCGTAAAATAGAGATGGTAAAATAACTGCTGGGGAAAGCTATACAAAGCAAAGCATAATGTATAAAATGCACCAAGGCCAGAGTATGGCCTTATGGAAAACCTGAGCACTATGTATAGCTGAACACCTTCCTTATAAAACCTGCAACAAACCACCTCTGACGACAGATGACCCAGTGTACACAGATCTTGTTCCCCTTCTAGACTGTAACCTCTTGGGGGTAGGACTTGAGAGGCATTACAGCATCCTGGTCAACAGCACAGATACAAGTCTGAATTAAAACTTGGCTCTATCTCTTGTTATGTCGCCTCCAGCAAGTTGCTGAGCTTCTCTGAAGTCTATGTCCATAAAATGGAAAGAAGCAACACATATTCCATGGGACTGTTGGGGGATCACACCAGATGACACGACTGAGGGTTTTTAGCACTGTGCCTTGCCTATAGTAAGTGCTCAGTCAACGATAGTGATTATTATTTTTCTCATCTCTGTATCCCCTGTACCTGCTAACAACAGTTACCTAATAATACCTGTTGGTTTAAAGGTTTATATAGCGGAGACATTGCCCCTCCCCCCGGAATTCAGAAATAGCAAAAAGTGTAAAAATGCCAAGGATAAGGGGTCCCCTACCTCTGGAAAATCTCTTGCAGCGTTTCCCGGGTGAAGGCATTGCTGTCCTGGAAGACGTTATTGAGGGCATGCAGGGCACAAAGCTCCCTGCGCTGTTTCTCATGGTAGATTTGTGGGGGTGCTGCCTGGGGCAGCTCCAAAGATTCAGATTTGGCCTTGTCTCCTTTCCATGGCACGCAACTCATGTTTTCGTTTTAGGTTCCAGAGATGGCTAAAAACACACCACCCTTCCCTCCAGAGGAAGAATGTAAGCTGCTCAGTCCTTTCGGGATTCCTGAGGTCCACCTTATTTTTTGGTGTCCATGATTTATGCTTTGTCACGGGGAGAAAGGTTGGAATCAAAAGGGAAAAAAAAATCCACTTCCATCAATAGAAAGATCACTTGGATTAGTGTATTTCGCCACCACTGTCAAAGTGCAGAATTTTAAAAAAATAGAAAATCTAAGACCTTGTTTCCTTTCTCCCACTCTCCCCGCCAAAAAAACCCCCCACGATTTTCTTCCCGTATTTTCCTCTCTGCAAATGCCAACCAGGCCTCAATGCAGGAGGACCGAGCAGAATTGTTCACATCGCTCCTTTTCTTCCATTTCTTTCGAACCGCAACGCCACTGACTCAGGAGACAAGGCCTAGGTTGTGGGAAAACACACAATTCGAGCAGCTAGCGAGAGCCGGCCAGCGTGGGATCGCGGGCAGCGCTGGGGCCTCGGGGACCGCTCTCCATCCCCTCGGGTGTGGCGGGGCCCCGCGGGGCGCGGGCCAAGGCGGGGACGGCTCCCTCGGAACGCGCGGACTCTCACCCTCTCGCCGCGGCCCTGCGGAGGAGACAACCGCGGTCAGCTCCGGCGGTCGCGCGGGCCGCCGCGGACAACCAGGCGGCGGGGTAGGCGGCGGGGTCCGGCCCCAGCCCGAGGGAAGGTCCTCCGCAGGGGCGGGCAGGCCCTCGAGGGGTGGGGTCGGGCCCACCCCGCTCGCCTCACCGCCCACACCCCAACCTTCCCGCCCGTCACGTGAGTGCAGGGCGACACGCCCTCCCGCCGCCGCCCCCGGCCGCGCCCGCGCCCGCGCCGCGGGTCGCCCCTCACCGCTGCAGGCCGCCACCTGGCGCTGCGGGCCGCCACCTGGGCCGCGCTCGGGCGGGCGGGCTAGCGCGCGCACCTGAGCCCGACGTCAGCGGCCCTCGCCGGGCGCGTGCTCCGGAAACGCCCTCCCGTGCCGTCTCCGCTCCCGCCCGCTGCGGCGTCACGTATGACGTCAGCTTGTCGTCAGGCGGCGCCGGCTTTAAGGCCGGGGCTGCCGCGGGTCCGTTGAGCGGGTGTGGGCGGTGCTGGGTGGCCTGGCGGGCGGGGGTCGGAGAGAGCGTGCGGCCGTGGGGCCGTGGGGCCGTGGGGCTGTGAGGCGCAGCGGCGGCAGCCGGCCATGGCGCTGGTGCCTGGCTCCTGGGTTCGGTTCTTTCCGGGTGTGAGTAGGGCGGGGCGGCCTGCGGGAGTCTCGCCTCGACGCCCGCCGCTCCCCACCCTTCCCCGGGCGTCGGCGCCGTTCCGGGGCGGCGACCCGGCCTGCGGCTGCCCTCGCCGGGCTCCCCACCCTTTCCCTTCTGTGGGCCGGGCTTCTCGAGCCGAGCGCTTTGCAGAACCTGGACTAGCTACTCCTGCGTTGGCCGTTTTATGTTTGTCTAACGCGCTGTTCACCAGGTGATTTCAGAGAAACGTACTGGTGCGGTCGGGCGTAAGCTGCCTTGGTTAGCGGGCCCGGCCGCCTCGCACTTCCCTGGGAGCGCTGAGGGTAAGTGCCTCGCCTGGAGTCACATTTCAGGCGGAGTGGAGAGCCCTGTCTCAGTGCCTTGGTGTCGAATTTCGGTGCACTACCCACAGACCACTGTCCTCTCGCCCTGGTCTCACGGTGGCTGACTTAGGACTTTACTCTGGATTTTCTCAAGGTATCTTGGGTGTTAGGAAGGTAAACACCCGGTCCCGCGGGGACTTTTCCCCCCTTTTACCTACCTCTAGGTCACATGGGAGGCATCATCCACCCTAGGAGCCCTTTGGGATTTTTTGTTCAGGAAATTGGAAAAACAGTAAGATTACATAATTCAGGTATTTCTCTAACCTTGCTAGGACTCGACTCTAAGACCATTACACTTACCGCAGTTACCACTTTAACACACGCTTGAGTGCTTACCACACTCTTGGGAGTCCTGCCCTAATCCAGACTTTAGAATTATCTTAAAAGTTTTGTAATTTGTAAGCCACCTAAGGTTGCGGTTATATTTTCATAAGATTAGTTAATGGAGGCTTGCAAACACTGTTCATTTCCTGCTAACTGCCTTGAGATAGCTGCTGCTTTTTTTTTTTTTTTCCAGAGGAGACAACTGAAGCTCAGAGTGGTTAATTATCTTGTTTGATAATTACTACTACTACGAAGTAGTAGACTCAGGATTTGAACCTGAGCTCTAACTTGTCTTCGGAAAGAGGTTGTAAAAATGGGAAGGGAATTTCTTTCCCAAGATGTAATTTTAAGATTTCTCTGTTCAAGAAGTACCTACTCTTGAGAGTATGTTTTGTGAACTAGTCCTATAGCGAGGACATGTTTTTTAGTCTACCGATAGGTGTCAGCACATATGTACTTGAGCTCTTTCTGGAAGAGCCAGTTGGTCATATGGTAAATACCAATTATTCTAGAGGACTAAAGCTTGATATTTGGCTTTTCTGCCAAATCAAGATTTTAATGTTTTTTAAGTACCTCATAGAGGAATATATAGGATAGTGGTGAGCAATTTAGTCCGAAAAGGGGGCAGACCCAGTGGCTCAGCGGTTTAGCGCCGCCTTCGGCCCAGGGTGTGATCCTGGAGACCTGGGATCGAGTCCCACGTCGGGCTCCCTGCATGGAGCCTGCTTCTCCCTCTGCCTGTGTCTCTGCCTCTCTCTCTCTCTCTCTCTCTGTCTCTGTCTCTATGAATAAATAAATAAAATCTTAAAAAAAGGAAAGGGGAAAAAATGCATTCGAGGAGATCTTATCAAGACCTTTGGAGTTGAATGACTTTTTGTCCCAGATTCCCAGCTGCGGTGTACATAAGACTTGATCATAAAAAAAAGAGAGAGATTTGTAGTTGTTAACAGGGGCAAGCAGAGTTTTTTTTTTTTTTTTCAGGTTGATCCCTGAAACTGAAGGCCATTTTGAACTCTAACTCTTATCAAATCCTGTGTTCCAAACTCTAATTCTTGGATATGTTACCATCTCAATGGCTGCTCTTAAAAAAAAATATATATTTAATTCATTTATTCATGAGCGATAGCGAGAAGCACAGACATAGGCAGAGGGAGAAGCAGGCTCCCTGCGGGGAGCCGGAAGCTGGACTTGATCCCAGGACCTGGAGATCAGGACCTGAGCCAAAGGTAGACGCTAGACCACTGAACCACCCGGTTGCCCCAATGGCTGCTTTTTCTTGATTGCTGCTTGGGACGAGTGCCCAAGGCCGGCATTATGTGACTTTTTGCTAATCCCTCATTTTTATTTTTTTATTATTTTTAAGATTTTATTTACTTATGAGAGATACAGAGGGAGAGGCAGAGACACAGGCAGAGGGAGAAGCAGGCTCCATGCAGGGAGCCCGACGTGGGACTCGATCCCGGGCCTCCAGGATCACGCCCTGGGTTGAAGGCGGCGCTAAACCGCTGAGCCACCGAGACTGCCCTAATCCCTCATTTTATCAAGCTTTTCAGACTTTTGAGACAGGGAGAGATACCAAAAACGTGCTAATGGTATTGTGGACTGGGACTAATACAACTGATGATACTCTGGAAAAATCATCCATAGGAAACTCTCCTAACAGACCCAGATCTTAGCTTCGCAATTCACAAATGTGGTGAGGTACTTTTGGCTTGTATTTTAGCTGGTTGCCTCTTTTTGGACCTGTAATTGCTCTCACCGCAGAGGCAGTGAATGGAGAATTCTCCCTAAGGTCAGCGTTTAATTAATTTCCCTCGCTCTGGCTGCTATAGTACTCCAGGCATCGATCCTTCTATTAAGATTGCGTGGAGGTTGCCAGCGTTTTGGACCTCGGTCTTCCAGGGACTGCCGGGAGTCTCCGAGTAGGGAGGTGGGAGGGGCCTTGTGCGGTTTACTATCTGGGTGGGCGGTGGCCCGAGGCGCGGGCCCTGTGTGCTGACTAGATTGGGCCTTGCCCCTGTCCATCATCGGAAGGCTGTCCGTGCGGATTGTTTTGCAGTAAGATTTGGAAACTGAACACTGCCTATGGAAAGGAGGGAAGTAAGGGGCGGTGAGGGTAAACGTTGTGTGTGCTTCCCCACTCATTGGATGGCTGCCGTGTCAGTCAAACCCTGCCCAGCTCTCGTTGGCTGGAAGGCTCCGGGCAGGTAGCGTGGCCGCGGTGCTGCCCCCTCCCGAGCTGCGAACGAGGCGTGTGACGTCTCAGACTTTTGTTGTTGGGGTTTGGGCCTCATTAATTATTCATTAGGTACTTGAAAGGGCCGCAGTGATTGGTGGCTGAGAGGCCTGGTCGATTGTTTCTTAGCTAGAAATACGTGTCATCTTCTACGCGGCTGGAGAAGTTTCGCATAAATTATCCGAAGAGGGCCGGGGCGGGGCCGCGCATAGATTAGGCAAATGCGCCGAGGAGGGAGGGGAGGCCGGCTACGAATTAGCCTAAGTTATTAAAGATGGCGGCGGAGCGGAGTCGCTCCCCGATGGACTCGCCGGTCCCGGCCTCTATGTTCGCCCCCGAGCCCAGCTCCCCGGGGGCGGCCAGGGCCGCGGCGGCTGCTGCCCGGCTCCACGGCACCTTCGACTCGGACTGCAGTGAAGACGGGGAGGCGCTCAACGGCGAGCCGGAGCTGGACCTCACCAGCAAGGTAGGCCCGGCCGCCGCCGGCGGCTCTGAGGGGACCGGCGGGCGCTGAGGGGACAGGGCGGCGGGCTGAGCGGTCTCCAGAGCGACGGCGCCGGCGGGGGCGGGAGGGGCCGAGCCCGCCCACCTGCCGGTGGCGGGACGCGTCCGGGGCTCCCGGCGAGGGGCGGCCCCCGAAGGCCGAGCCCCGGCGTCCTCTCCCGGCGGCGCCGACCCGGCCTCCCGCCGTCCGCCTCCCGCCGAGATCACAGCCCCCCGGCTCCGCCACGTGGAACCGGGGCGCCCGACGCCGACGCCCGCGGCGCCCTGCTCGGCTGCCGGCCCTCGGCCGTGCCGCCTCCGCGGAGACCTAGGTGGTCCTCTCCCGGCGCTGGCCGCGGCGGCTGAGGAGGCTGGGCGGGAGCAGGAAGGCGGCGGGGCTCTTCCTGGTGTCGGCGAGGAGCCGGAAAGTAGTTGGCCAGTCCCGGAGAGGGGTCTGAGGAATCCCTTCCCAAACCAAAACTGAAAGACGAGCAGGACGCAGAATCTGGCCATAGCAGGAGTGGAACCTCATGTTGTATGAATGAAATAATGAAGGACCTCTTAAATCGGGGCCGCCGAGCTTGTGAGAAGGTAGGCGGGAAGCAAGGGCTCGGCTTCTGCTTGGCGCTGTAAGGATGGCAAAGTAAGTGTAAGATGTGGCTGGTGTCTTGAAGGTGCTTAAGCGTCGCGAAAGGAAAGAATGCCAACTTGGGAGTCCGACAGGGCTGGGTTCCCTAACCTGCCACTTAAAAGGCTCTGTGACCTTGGCAAAGTTTCTTAACCTCTTCGTTCTCCAACTCCAACATTTTTAAAGTACAGATAAGCGGGGTTTTTTTTTTTTTAATGTATATGACGTGTTTAGAAAAACAAAACCCAAACAGGCCCAAGATGGGGTCATTTGCCCCTTAGATTACAAACCAGGCCTCGTAGCTTCCCCCTCTCCCAGGAGTGAAGGTTTTTGGTCAGCACTAGTAAGATAGTCTGCCGGATAATCCCTCCTGTCTTTCCCAAAGGGAAGGTAACCTTGCCTGAAATTATACTTTTTTTTCTTTTGCTAATAACCTTGTCTCACCCCCTTTTTGCCTATAAAATCTTTCATTTTTGTATAGC